GGAGCGTACACACACACACACGAGTGAGGGAGAGGCAGAGAGAGAGAGACAGATCCGAAGCCGGCTCCACGCTGACATCAGAGAGCCCAATGTGGGGCTCAAACTCAAGGAACTGTGAGATCATGACCTGAGCTGAAGTCAGACGCTTAACTGACTGAGCCATCCAGGTGCCTCCAGATTTTCTTTTTTAATTGGGGGACAGTTAACACACAAAATGGACAGTCTTAAGTGTTCCTTTAGCAGGTGTATTTTAAGAATTATTTTTTGTCAACATTTAAAAAATGAGACCTCATAAAAATCCAGATTTCTAGTTCCTTTTGAAAAGTTAGAATATGGTGGTGTGTGCCCTTATTCTAGCATGGCAGCAATGAGCTGAGCTGGAACCACACACCAGCCACCCCTCTGGCCGGGACTCTACTTGCTCCCAGTACCCAGCCAAGCCCCTCCTATTTACATTATCTGTTCCTCTCCAAGTCTCAGCTGAGATGATGCTTCAGCTTTCCGGATCCCTTCAGATGAGGTTACTCAGTTGTAAATTCACATGGTCCCATGAACTTCCTTCATTGTAATCAACCCATTATTTGATTAACATATGTGTTTCCCATCAGACTGTAGGCTCCTTGGGGCCAGGGCCCAAGTCTGTCTTGCCCCTGGCATAGCCCTCAGAGCTTGGCGCAGAGAAAGGCCTGAGTGAACAGTCAAATGAATGAACCAGGGAGTGGTATGGGAGGAGTGTTGGAGCAGAAAACTAAATGTTTGCCTACATTCAATGTGTCTGAAGAGAGGCTGGAATGGTGAGGAGTAGTGGGTGGTGATCTCAGACAGGTATGACAGGAGCCAGAGCAAGAGAAGCCTTGGCACTGAACAGAACAGTAAACTTTAACTTGAGAGCCATCGAGAGCCACTGTAAAAATTGAAGCAGGCAAGGCTTTATTTAAGCTATTCAGCGCTCACTTTGGGATCAAGTGAAGGGCAGGCTCAAGGGCACTGAGGCCAGAGGAACAGAGTCAGGAGACTGTGGAGTACCCAGGGAAGAAGTGAAGGCCTGACCCACAGCCAGGGCTGTCTGGCCTTTGTGGGCTGTGGTCCTCGTGTTCAGCTGTAGTGTAGCATATTAGGGCAGAGCCTGGCTCACACAGACATGTGTGGAAATTTGGCCACTGGCAGGAGGAGGAAGAAGAAAAAAGGAGGTTAGGCAGCCAACTGATGGAGGGATGAATGATGGAAGGATATGAGGTCTGCCTGGTTAGCAAGAGGACAGATGGAGGGAGGGAGGGCAGATGGCTGTCTGGAACCTATTGGTGAATCTTTACAAATGTAGACTTTGCAGCAAATTGTCAGGATACTTGTCCCCTGCATTTGTTCTATTCACTGAGCAGATAGGTCCTGGATGATCTGTGTTTCAGCCCCAGGAATTAGCCAGGCTGCCCCTGGCCAGGCGCTGAATATGTCAAGCCATCCCAGAATCCTCAGCCCTAGGGCTCCAAGTACCTGGACTCCAGTCAGGGAGGCGGTGGGTATATTGGACCCTACCTACAAGTGATTCTCCATCTGGCCCAGCTGCTGAGAAAGGATGGCTGCTTCCCTCTCAGATCCGAATTCCTATGAAGGCAAGAGAAACAAACTTAGAACTTATATTTTGGGTCCTTGGGCCTTAGAGGATAATCTCTTTCAGTCTCATTTCACCATTTAGAATCTGAAACCAGATCAGATTCCAACATCAGACCAGCCTATGGCCTGTGCCAGGACTGGAGCAGTGAGGCCAGGGCCCTGTGGTTGGGCCGCTCAGCGACAGTAGGCAGTGCCTTGTGAGCTCCATTACCAGATGGCTCCTCTCTTCCATCTGGGGCATGGGTATGCTGAAGAGGTCTTTCAAGAAAGCTCTTGTGGGGCTGGAGGTAAGAGGTGGCACAGGCAGAGAGTCTCTGCATGAGGGAGTCATATGGAGGTGGAGAGCTGCTACCTGGCCCTGGGAAGTGGGGAAGAGGGGCTTCCAGCCAGCAGAGTGTGGAGTGAGTCTTTAACCTTCTGGGCCAGTGCATGGGCGCCATCTTTGCCGGCCACCTTGTGGTTCACCTGACTGCTGTCTCCATCGATCCAGCAGATGCCAATGTGAGGGACAAGAGCTATGCAGGCCCCCTGCCCATTTTCAACCGCAGCCAACATGCACACGTCATTGAAGACCTGCATTGCAACTTGTGCGACGTAGATGTGTGAGTGAGTGTGGACTGAGGGTGTGTGTGGGTGGTGATTGTGCCCCGGGGAACTGCCAGCGTACGTTCAAGGCGGAGAGGGACATGCCCAGGGCTTTATAGTTATGCTGATGCCTCAGAAACCTCGTGTTTTACAAGAATCTTGACAGAGTGACAGAGAATTGGGTGAAGGAGGAGATTGGAAACAGAAGATGAGGAATGGCATTTCCAACAGTTACAGTAGGAGATACTTGGCACTGCCACAGACTTTTCTACTGACTGACTCTGCCAGTGACTCCCCTACCCCCATCTCTCACAAGCATTCCCAGATAGGGACGGGGAGGGGCACTAATGCTTGAGTACTTACTATGTGCTAAGTGCTTATGAACAACCCTGCAGGGTGGGCAGCACCTCACCTCACAGAAGAGGAAGTGCCCAATGCTCATATGGGAGCCCAGTGCTCCCATATGACCTATGCCTGAGGTCATATGGCTATTGGGTAGCAGAGCTAGATTCACAATCCAGCCTGCCTGGCCCCCAAGCCCATACTGTTATCCTCAGTTACCCATGAGGAATCTGAAGCCCAAAGAGGCCAAGTGACTTACTCCAGATCATGCTGCTAGTGGGAAGGACAGTCAGAATTTGCAGAGCCCATGCCTCCTTGGCTGTTCTGTACTGCCTCCCTAGGTCCCTCCCTACTCTCCTGGAGCTTCCAGCCTCAGGCAGGGGATTGGGGATGGCGGTATGGTCCAAGGCTAACTCTACATTTCTAATCTTAATGTTCACAGCCTGTTGAAGGGGTATGTCCCCAGGACAGAGAAAGAGGCAATGGCATTAAGGCACTGAGGAGTTTGGTGTCTGATCATCCTTTCCTTCACTAGGCACCAGTCAGTGCATTGCTCTTAAGTGGATGCTGTGGCAATGGCTGCCCACTCTGTTCTGTTCTGGTCTGGGGGCTGCAGCTCACTCTCCCACACCCCTTTGGGCTTGCATTCCTAATGTGGCCTCACCTCCTCTGACCCCCTGCAGCAAACTGCTGTTCACCCAGATGTCAGCTTGCTCCTCTTCCTTTGGCTCCCTTTGGGTTAGCCTAGACAGACTTTTTCTGGCAGAGGTTTTCTGGAAGAATGCCAGTAAAATTCCCATAGACTGGCAGGGAAATAGGGACTCAAAAAATAGAGATGTCAGAAAAAGCAACGCAGGCCCCGGACCCAGCAGCCTTGCTCTCTTCTGCTACTTGGTGCCACACCTGCATCGTCTCCTGGCTTGGCGCAGGGGTCCTTGCTTGGAAAAGAAGCCCCATTTCCGTTTCATACCACCATCACGCAGGTGCGCAATCCCTTAGCGGTTAAGTGTAATGCCTCCCAACCCCTCTACCTCCTACCCTGGCTCTTCAGAAGCCAGACCTCCTGTGGGTGCTCTGCTTCGCAGTGCCACCAGAGGGCGTGCGCGCTCCCCGTCGCCGTTTCCAGGTTCCGGTGGAGTGCGGGGTGGGTAACGCGCTCCAGGCCCGGCGTTCCGGTCTTCCGTGGCCCCAGCCAGGCCGGTGGCGAAGTGCGGGAAAAGCTAGCCGACCGCCTTGTGCCCCTCCACCCCCTCCCGCAGGAGCGCTCGCTCCAAGCACTGCAGCGCCTGCAACAAGTGCGTGTGCGGTTTCGACCACCACTGCAAGTGGCTCAACAACTGCGTGGGCGAGAGGAACTACAGGTGAGAGCGCGGCACGGGCCCCAAGGGTGCCTGCGGATGCACGGGTCCGAGTGTGAGCCAGGAACCCTGAGCTTGCATATGAGGCGGGGCAGGGGGCGGGGGGTGCGGTGCTTGGTGGACCTGTGCGCTGGTGTGCATTAATGTGTTGGTCTGAGGGTGATGCTCCTGATGGCTGCCACCTGGGACTGCTGAGGGAAGGTTTGGGGGCTTTCTCCTGTGGGTCCACAGAATGGTGGGAAGCCTGCTGGGCTGGCTGCCCAAACTGATCTTTGCCCTAAGTCATTGGCTTCGTGAGGAGTTGGGGCTGTGGGGTCAGAGGCCTGGCTCCCCTCCCAACCATGGGCCCTTCTGAGTTCTGGGCCCTTATCCAGCTGGAGCACCTGGGTGCTGACAGCTGCCCACGGCTGGGCCCAGGCTCTTTCTACACAGTGTGGCATCTGCTTTACTGGGTGTCCTGCTCCTCGTGCTGGTGGCCACTTATGTCTTTGTGGAGTTCTTTGTCAACCCCATGCGGCTGCGCACCAATCGCCACTTTGAAGGTCAGTCCCGGCTCCAGGCCCACTTCCACCTTCCAACCCTGGGCCTGTCCCAGTCATTGGTCACAGCCCGGATGAGCAGTCTGCCTGTGCCTTGCAGTCCTGAAGAATCACACAGATGTGTGGTTCGTGTTCCTGCCCGCTGCCCCTGTGGAGACCCAGGCTCCTGCCATCCTAGCCCTGGCTGCCCTACTCATCCTTCTGGGCCTGCTTTCCACAGCCCTGCTTGGCCACCTGCTGTGCTTCCACATTTATCTCAGTAAGTCCCCCAGCCCCCACTCACATATACCTATACCTGCCTTGCGGTGGATAGGGGTCCCTAGCCTGCAGGGACGTACCACTTGGGCCGTAGAACCCTGAAGCCATGCTCCTTTTTCAGTATTGGCTTTTGATGGTGGCCTGGTCTCACTTAATGGATTAGTATATATGGGGACAGTAGTTTTCAGGCTGGGGCTGGGTACCCTCCCTTACCTTCTGAACTCTAGGATCCCCTTTCCACTGCACTGAGCCCTCTCCTCACCCCCTCAGTGTGGCACAAGCTCACCACCTATGAGTACATCGTGCAGCATCGCCTGCCACAGGAGGCAAAGGGGGCCCACAGGGAGCTCGAGTCATGTCCCCCCAAGATGCGGCCCATTCAGGTATAGAAGTCGCCCAGAGGGCTGAGGGGATGGGAGATGGGGCTTGGGTGTGGGAGGGGTGGTGGCTGTGCAGCAAGCAGCAATGAGACAGGGCAAAGGAAAGCAGGCCTGGAATCACAGTTGGAGCAGGGGAGCACCTGGAGGCAAGAGGGGCAAGGCCAAGCCTGTACTAAACACATGTCTGTTTGCTCAAGTGTGAGCACAGCCAGAGGAAGCCCTGTGTTTTCCCAACCCCATGTACATGCCTGTCTGGGCTCCGAGTATGTGCTGGAGGGCATGGGATGTGGGAGCTTGGAAGCGGGCAGGTTGGGGCTGCAGAAGAGAGATGGGTCAGCGACTGGGTCACCAGGATGGAGATGTCAATTCTCTCTACCCGTGACCCTGAGACCTTAGACTCATCACCTTCTTTAATCCTTAAAAGAGCCCATGAGGCAGGTAATATAACTGCAACCGTGTTGCAGATGAGCCTAACGCTGGGTCTGCGAAGAGTTAAAGTCCCTACACTCTGAAGCAGGAACCCTGTAGCCCAGCTACTGACCAGTCTATCCCCATTCCCACGCCCCATGGCTTCCTGAGGTCAGCAGCTGGAGGTGGGGGTGGTCCAGTTCTTGGAGCCCCCAGGGACTGGGAAGGCAGGGGGCCCAGGCAGGCCTTGCTGGGAAGGCTGAACTCTGGATCCCAAGTCCTCATGGCAACTAGATACAAACACAGGCTGGTGGGCGGGTTGGGAGAAGGCTTGGGACCCGGCCTCTCCTGTTCTCATTGCCAGGGGTAGGGCCTGGGAGGCCCGGGGGGAGTGTTGACTTTTGGTGGTGACCCCCCTGCCACACCACTGTGTACACACACTGGTGCCTGGCATTGAACCCTTGTAAGCGCAGTGGCAGCTATCCTCGGAGTGGGCATCCCCTAGGCAGGAGACTTTCTCAAGCTTCATAGTCATTACCCACTGAGGCAGGACTGGTCCTAAGATGCTTAGACTACAGGGATCTAGGCCCCTGCCCTGTAGTCACTGCTTGCCTAGGCTTTGGAGTCAGGTGTGCCAGCAAGGGCATTTAATACCATCTGTATGTGACCTGAGGGAGGCCTCCCCAGGAAGAGGAGGGATGTGTTTGTCCCATTGCACAGAGGAGAGTTCTGAGGCTGAGAAGTGCCATTTACCATTCAGGAATGTGCACTTTTTTTTTTTTTTTTGGTCAAATTTTTATTTAAATTCTAGTTAACGTATAGTGTAATATTGGTTTCGGGAATAGAATTTAATCACTTACATACAACATCCAGTGCTAATCATAAGTGCCTTCTTAATACCCATCATCCATTTAGCCCATCCCCTACCCACCTCCCTCCATCAACGCAGTTTGAGGAATGTATACATTTAAAAAAATTTTTTTAACTTGTTTTATTTTTTAAAGTTTACATCCAAATTAGTTAGCATGCAGTGCCACAATGATTTCAGGGGTAGATTCCTTAGTGCCCCTTACCCATTTAGCCCATCCCCCCTCCCACAACCCCACCCGTAACCCTCAGTTTGTTCTCCATATTTATGAGTCTCTTCTGTTTTGTCCCCGTCCCTGTTTTTATATTATTTTTGTTTCCCTTCC